CCACTGGAATCTGACACTCGAGTTTGTTGCTACTCATTCTTGATAATTGTGAATAACAATAACAATTTTATTGAATTAAAAACAATTAACTACAAAGATTTTATTGTAAAAAAATAAAAGATGGTTTCTGAAGGTTGCTCAGACCTCCATAAGAATATATTCAAGGTCCCCGTAAGTTTTTCCCATTATTTTTTTCCATACTTTAGAATTCTACTTAAATAGAAAAGAAAAACAAATTCAAATTTAAAATAATTTTAAATTTAAATAGAAGTAAATCAAGGCTAGAACCGATAAACTTTAAGACTATAAGAGACGAGAAGCAGTGATATTATTGTCTGAAAGAAATATGTTGCCTGCGTCCATTTCTGCAAGCCACTGCGGGAATGGTCCTTCTGGCTTGTTCTCGCTTAAATCCAAGAAAACAAGAGCCTTCTGTGTAGAAATCCAGCATGGGATTCTTCCTGCGAGACGGCATGAGCTCAAAGATAACTGAGATATCATACATTCATTGTGATCCCATGTCAGTTTATCGCCTCCAACAAACAGATCCCTCAGACTTTTCATATCAAACAACCAGGTAGGGATTCCTCCAGGTGGTAGTTTTCCAATCGGAGTGTTTTTAACTTGAGAAGCTTCTCTATAGATGATGTAATCCCACCAGTCAGCCTATTGTCACTCAAGGCTAGAGTGGTCGAAGCAAGTGGGCTAGTAACTTCGTTGTCAATACTGAAGCGGTAAGGAGTTATTGTGAAAAACCCGTAGCAATTATAGAAAAATGTTACAACAAGAAAGAGCACAATATTTAACATTGTTTGAAAATGTACCTGCATCTAATTGAGTGAAGAGTTTTTATTTTTACTGTATCAAAATAGGGTTAGATGATATATATTTATAATAAACTTTAAATCATCCAAGGAATTCTAGAAGGAGTATTAATAATTTTTCCATAATACTCTTTCACCCTACTGCAGGGGTGGTGCCCCTGCTACTCCTGCTCGATTCTGATATCTGCTTGTGAATCACAAACTACAACATGAGTCAACTAAAGAAAGAGAGTATCCCTAGTTCGAATCCAACCGCTTGCATCTCCCAACTTACATGAAAGTGCGGAATTGACAGGAGACTTCAAGTTAGCAGGCTCTCCCTTGTGGTTTGGCTTTTAAAAATGGCTGTTCACCTGTAGATCGTGTCCAGAAATATGTGCATCATATCAATAAAATAAAGTAAAAGGCCAGAGTGGTGAAGTTGGCTAAATCACCAATATCATTTGGAATCTCCATGGATAAATAATTCTCCCTCGAGTACAATATTTCCATCTCCTTCAGGTAGAGAATTGAAGATGGAATCCCGCCAAAGAAATTGTTGCTGCGAAAATTCAGCTGCTGTAACTTTGTGAGGTTCCCAATCTCTTCAGGAAATATTCTCCCAGAGAATTATCATCCAACTTCAACACCTTCAAGTTGAGAAAAAGCCCAATTCTTCGCTAGATGAGAGACTTACATGCCATCCCATGCCTGCACCATCCCAAAGTCTTCCAATTCGTCTTAACGGACACCAATCCTCAGCCTAAGATCATGGTCACTTTAATGACCATACTCATGTTGAAAGTACAATATTTTCAATTAGTTTGGCTGTTAAATAGTACTATATGTTTCTCATATTCAAAAAGTCCACAAGCCAGAACTAAGAATCCTAATTCTGATGTTCAAAGAAACAGGTATGTCTTGTTCTCATATCTTTTTCGTTTGAATTTGTCGGACTATTATGCGTGTGATTGCGTAAACTCGACTTATGGGATTGTGTAGGCTTGAGTTATGGCTTAATACGAGGGACTCGATACGAGGCTTACCCTCTGAGATTGTTTGATAACATTGGCTATTCAAGAGTCAAGTATTGTGTATAAATAGGATTATAACTCTTCAAATTTATGCAAGTTAATCAAGATGTACTCTTTTTGGTTCCTCATTTCTCTTGTAGTTTCTGTAATTTCATTTTAAATTTGTTATTCATAATAGAATTAGGGCTTTCTGTGTAATGTACAGCAGTTTACATGCCCGGAAGTTCGACAGGATGGCAGTTAATTCATTCTGTTATATCCAATAATAAAGAAACAGTTTACTTTTCTTGTTTATCCTCTTCAATTTTCTTGTCCAGAAGATTACATATCATAGACTGTATCCAAAGAAGAATGAGGATAACAAGCCAATCATGGCGAATCATATTAAACTTTTTTGAACTCGTCCTAAACTAAAGCTATGAAAAAACAAAAATCTTATTACAAGGAGTTTTATCTGAAGCAGTTGGTGGTTTGGCCAGTCCTGGCTTCATGTAAGTTCAGGTGCAGTTACCTCCTTGATTCTTTCATCCTTGGAGCAAATTCATGACTCTATTTCTTGTTGAATCCGAATAGAGATTTAATGGCGTTGATGGCATTCTCGTTGATAAATGATTCATCAAACCTTTTCATAAGAGGTTCAAATCCCTCAGCTGTCCTTAAATTGGATAGGTCAGGATCTGTCCGGATTCGCTGTTAACATTTCCAAAACCTCAGATAGTCAGCACTTCAAACTATATGATGCTGTTCATGTGCAATTTTAGTCCATTACCTTAAAGTCTTCAAATCCTGCTTTCATCGCATCTTCAAGTGCAGATAGCCCAGCTTGTAACTGTTCGAAGTTCGAGGAAGTAAATGATGCAGCAATCCCATAAAGGGATTAAAAGGAAGAGAAAGGGCTACTGTTTTCAAGATAACAAAGACATTACCTGATTAAGCTTAGAATAACAACAAGCGACATTGTAACTTGCCACTGCAGCTTCAGTTGGGTCTGGTTTCGATCCCAGCATAGACTCGAACTTCTCCAGTGCTTCCTCATATTTGGCATTTCTTCATCAATTAACCAAGGAAAACAAAATTTTAGAAGTATCACTGTGAAGAACTTGTAATGACTTGCAGGCAGTAAAGCATGTTACTAGCGCTTAAAGGGACATCTAATTTGATGTAATAAATTATGCAACAAATGAATCAGTCCATCCTAGAGACCTAGCCTTCGCAAATATGAAATTCAACTTGAACTCAAAAGGAAGTAGAAAGAACAAGTTGAATATCCAGAAGTTACTTGTATAATTGCAGCCCTTCGCGAAGATCCTTTTCTCGTTGTTCTTTCTGCTCCTTTTTTCTTATGTAATTTTGCATCTGAAAAACCAATCACAAGTCAGAAATGCCAAGTTACTTGCAGTAAGAACTCTTCCTATACAAAGAAACAAAGTGAAAGAGAACACATATGGTATCCAGCTTTGTATCTTTTTCTAGTTACTCACTTGGATTTCTCTCACTCTGTTACTAATGACACCAGAGTTCCTCTCAGCTCTGATAATTTCCTTTTCTGTCAGTTCCCCGGTATAATCCATGTTCCCTGAACAGAGTAGACAATAAAGAATGAACTTCCAAGTCTAGTTCTATGTGCAAGTTTTCATGGGTGGGAGTTTAAGAGTGCACATATATGTTCATCAGGCATTGATGAACTAACCATATCTCTTTTGCATTTTCATGAGTAATGGGCCAATTCTTTGCCGGATGGTGTACATTGTCCTCCCATATTCAGCTGCTGGCCAAATCTCTGTCCCAAACACAGCACTGCATAAGATTTAGAATTCCATAAGTTACATTCTCAAATAAGATTCTTGTCAATTGTTCCAAAATTGTGGTAAAACATTTTTATGATTAGAAAAGGAGTTGCAGAGTTCTTCAGAAACTTGTATCTATCAATTGCAGCTCACATTATGATGAATTGCGTTGAATTGGACTTGATATTTAATTTGGAGAAGAAGAAGAAGAAGGATAAATTAAACCTGGTTGCAATAACTTTATCACCAACACTGAATTTGCCAGTCTTATCAGCTGATCCACCAGGAGCAATAGCATCAATATAAGTAGCGCCATCTCTGCCCTTTGCAAACTTTATCCCATAAGGCTGCTCTATTTCCACCTCATACTCTTCATACTTTTCTTCTCCTTCACCTTCACCTTCACCTCCACTTCCACTCTCTGCAGATTTTGATGTCTGTGACTCAGTTTCTGAAGCTTTAAGGATTGAATTTGATGGTTTTAGCAAAAGGGTATTGCTGAAAGCTGTTGAAGTGCTGAGAAATGAGTAGTTCTTGGATAAAAAGTGAGTGTTTTGAGAGAAAAGGAGTGGAATTTGCTTGGCTTGGACACTACTTGTTGGTAATGGTGATGAAGAGTAGAGAGAAGGATATCTACTTGGAGCTAAAGACATGGCTGGTTTGTTCAACTACTGTTTTGCTTTGCTTCAGCAGCTCAATTGCTTCTGCTCGGAATGAGAAGTACTGCTGCTTTCCATTTGGAGGTGGGGGAGAGAGATGCTGAGAGGCAGAAGGAGAGATTGGCCTCAAAGAAGAAGTGGCTCTCATGAGCTCTTTGTGCTCTTGTTCAATAATGTTGTGCCACGTGTCATTTGTGGGAAAGGTATGACTGGATCTTTTGATGACACGTGGCCTACCCTCATTCTTGATTATGGAGTTCAATACATTTGAGATTACCAACTCATATTTGTTCTTTTCATTTTAATTTTAATTTTAATTTTTAGCCAAGCAAAGGAGGAGGAGGAGGATATTCCTTCTAAAAAATCCCAATATATACATACCCTACCAACGGTACGATGGATCCCATGGTTGATCTTGTTGGCTAATGAAATTTTTTTAGAAAAAAAAAATCACAAGTTTTCTTCATACTAATGTAGTTAAAAACCTTTTTGAAAAGAAAAAATCCATTAATATCAAATTATTCATACAAAATAAATTGTTATTTTTATACTATGAAAAAGATAACTCTCATGGTTTTTGGTAGGAAGGTAGAAATTCATACAAATGATCACGATATTAAAGCACTTTGGTGCTAGGATTTGAATGAGAATATGAAGTCAATTTCACAAGGAACGAAATTATAACTTCATATATATATATATATATATTAAAGATTATATTGTCAGAAAGATGATTACGGGAATGGCAATATTAGGACCTTAAATATTTTATATGACAAATCCAAAGCCCTAATCTTGGCAAATCTATGGACATGAAATGTACATCACAAAGATAAAGTCAGCATGGAAATCACGTAGCTTACAAAGCTCCTCCAACCTGCAATCACCCCGTCAAGCCTTGACTCCTGAGCTCCCGTCCATGAAAAAACAGATATTGCAAGTAACCCACAAGCTCAAAGAACTCTACACCTTCACATTTCTTTTATTCCCAGGCAAAGGAGGAAAAAAAAATCTGATCTACAGACGTTCGGATCCTGCGTCATGTGAAATTCTCTGTTTTGATGATTAATAAACCTTAAAAAAATTCACCTTTCATCTGTTCAAATGAGCTGTGGATGCATCTTTGACAATTTTCTCTCATGTCAAGGCATCAAAATCTTGCGACCAAATCTACAGGAACTTCTTCTGCAATTGAATGCAAAGCCTGCACGACCACACACAAAAAAAAAATAATCAGAAAGGGCAAGCAGAATGTAGACAATGCAGAAGGGAGAAGTTGTATGATCTTACTCGCAGATTACTTCTTCAAACTATTACCAGACAGGACTTTCTTCCCATAAGGACTAGTTCGAAGTGTAGGAACATGGGGTCGTATAGCCTCCACCAGAGCAGTATGAAGAGCTCCCTACTCCACAAGTTAAACAAGGATCCAATCAAATAATGAAATTGAATCAGTTTAATTTAATCAACGCCAACCGCTTTCCACCCCCTCATACAACAGAGATCAGAAAATAAGACTACAGTCTCCAAAGGGGACTCCAAGAAAGACAACAAAAAGAACAATCCAAAAGCATATAATAATTGCAAATCTTTCTTCCAGGGGAGAACTGCCAGGCACATGATTTTATTGGAAAAAAAATGTTGATTAAAAATCAAAATACAAACCTTTGATTGTTGCAAAGCTGCCTGGATAACATAATTACCAAAAGGATCTTGCATGACTTGATCAAGGTGAGCATTATTTATCAGCTCCTGGATAATACGTGTCCGGCGCTCCTCTCCTGCATATTTTAGGCATTTCTCTACCACATTGCTGCTATATTTCTGAACAGACAAGTCCCTATAATTACCTTCCAACTGACCAAGAATATCAGTTGTTGCCCAGGGAAGTCGAAGCTCAAAGACAAATTGCACAACATAGTTCCTGCAACATTGAAACACTTCAAATTTCAAGTGTTGGAAATCCAAGCATGCATTAAAAAGATGGCTTTTAAATTCCTAATAAGAGAGCCATTCAAGCAGTCATCAAGATGTAGTGCCACAAATGCTTTTTGGTCTTGCCTTTCTTAATTCCCCAGAGTAAGAACACCACCACACGTGTGGAATATGTAAAGCATGACGGGAAATTTTTTTTGGAATTGTTAGAGCAGGGTTTGAGTAATTATTTTGATGATGAGATTGTGAAAAAACTTGATATTTTGACCAACAAATTTCACTGAGTCAAAAAGTCCTCTGTCAAGCAAAGCTAATACTTCAGTAATAGTCCCACATTATTCACTTTTGATTCTAAGCCTTGAAAATAAAATGCATAACAAAAGAAAACAAAGAGGATCTGGATAAAACAGAAGTTCATTAATACATGTCACCCTTTATTAATAACTACTTATATCATGTTTAGAATGTGAAACCACTTTCTTCCATGGAATTGTGCAAGAATGAAAATTCAACACACCTTTGTGAAAGACAGGCTTAAGAAAAGACACGGGAAGGAAAGCTCAAAGAAAAGAGAAAAATATAGTACCCAAATGGATCTTGTGAAAGGATCAGAGCATTCGACGTGATCTCAGAGACTAAACGACACCTTTGCTCTCCCTCGGAATGGCTTAGGCATTTTTGAAGCACGCAACAGCCATGGCGATCCATTGCAAGTTCAATACAATTAGCAGTTGTAGCTTCAAAAAGGAACTGCAAAAGAAATCATCATCACTGTTTCACATAGTGCTAAATTCTGGTTTATCTGTAAAGCATGCAGGATTTATAACTAAAAGAAGCATCATTTGCTGCATCTGCATGGAAGAGTTAAACAATTGTTGGAAGGCAACAATTTTTGTCAAGGAATGCCAAGGCTTCTCAAATTGAAATCATTCTTCTTGAATTGATAGATGGTATGCCCCAAACAAAAAAAAAATTAAAAAAACACTGATGGATGGATCTTAATCAATGTCCCATTCCTTTTTTTTTCTTTCAGAGGAAGCTGGTGTTTGCATTCTTGATCCTAGTAATAATTTTTATGACAAAAACTTACCCAAGAATAGCTATTAAGTCACCATAACCTAGTTACACAAATTTCAGAATTTTATTAACATGATATATAACCTGAAAACGAAGATAATTAAATATAAGCAATATGTTAGTAAAAGTAGAGGACAGTTCTTTCTATATTGTTAAGGGTAGTCGCTCCAGTACAGAAGTAGAGAACAACATGCTAAAGAGTACTTCTGTGGGAAAACTAGAAACAAATGAATCTCAAACTTCTGTGGGAAAACTAGAAACAAATGAATGTCAAAGAACAAAAGTAAGAAAACAGGGAACAAAAGTAAGAAAACAGGGCTATGAAAAGATGAAAAGATCAACTATAAGTGTGAAGAGATGATGGATGTCCATTACTCTAACGGGGATGTGATCCAACTCAAGTTGTTCAATTGAAAGGACATGTACCAACAATAGTTTTACCTCTTGTTCTTTCATTTCAAATGCTTTGGTAAAAAAGATTTAAAAAATCAATTTGCTTCTTCACATTAATAGTTTTGAGGGTTTCAGACAATAAGGCTATGAGGATAAATAATCTGAAAAATATAACAAAAGTTCCAGTTGCCAAAGATACTCAGGTAGAAAAGATACGTGGCCTTACATCAATGTATTCAGGCATCAAACACTGCAAGCAACGCTGGGCTACATGGTTACCATTCATATTTTTTATCAAGGTCACTATACCAGGCTTCAATGCAGAGACAACCATGGAACACTGCTCTGAGGTCTTAAGGGTTTCGATAACCTTTTGAACAGCTCGAGTCCTGTGTTTAAAAGAGCAGTTCAGAAAATAATTAAAGCATGAAAGGGGAACACCATGAGTTTTGAATGCACAGGAAAATAAGTGTGCATGCGCGCGCGCACAAAGAGAGAGAGAACAAACCCATGCATATCACATGAAATCCGAATAAGCTCCCCAGCTTTTCTAGTGATAGCACTAAGTATTTGCATTCTCTGATCCTCATCGCATACTTCAAGCAACTTCTGAACAAGGTAGTTCCCAAAAGGGTCTGTCATTAGCTCAACAATGTGATCAATAATCTCAAGAAAAATCTTTTCAACATCTTGTGGGCTCCCCTCAGAAAATTTTCTCTGCAAGAAACGGCAACCATGCTGGTCCTTTGCCATGAGATATATTCTACCAGTTACATCATCTACTGAGTTATACTTCAAAGACTGAGAACTGAAATTAGAGCTTTTTAGTTCAGTAAAATCAGGAGATATATCCCATGAGGTCAAATGATCCAACTGAAAGCACCCAGCAGGAGTAGGTAAACTATGGAGAAGGTGACTGTTTGATAGAAATTTGCCATGATGGTTGAGATGGGCAAGTGTTTCATTGCCTCCAGCTGAGCCAAACTTCAAAGCTTTCAGTGTGTTCAGTCCTTGTGACCTTGTCAGAATCTTTTCAGGAAAACACTGTTTTCCTACTTTGTCCAAAACACGTATACCATTCTGTGAGTGGTTCAAACCCCTTGAGACAGCATAGTTGCTACAAAATGGTTCTTGATTAGACTGTTGAACTTGGTGAGAGAATGGCACCTCCAAATATGGTTGCTTCACGTTCCGACTCATCAGCTTGGTTGCAACATTTCCATTTGCTTGAATAGGATTCTGGGCTTCCAATCTTTGATTATGAAGTTGCTGCATATATAGATATTGCTGATGCATCCTGTAATGTTGTTCTTCTCCAATATTCCTCCAGCTAATGTGAGACTGGTTTAATTGTTGTGAATGTAAGTAAGGAAGTGGAGACTGAACATCAGTGAAGTATTGATGATCAGACGTTAAAGGAAAATCCATGCCTGGGACAGCCACATTGGAAAGCAATTGAAAACCTTGCATGCCATGAGTTGGTGAGAAGGCCGTGGAGAAATTTTCAATTGGCTGAGGCTGACAAAAATCAGCTGGCACCTTCAGTTGTCGGGCATCAAATTTTAAGAAATTTGACTGTTCTTGACCAACTTTCGCAACATTAAACTTGTCAAAACCAAAAGGTAAATTATTTGGTGAGCGGAACAGAGGGGAAACCATCACTGTTGAGTCCATATTTGAGAGTGAACCATTCATGGTGTTTATATATACAGCAGGATTAGGTGGGGATTTAAAATTCACCAAAGAACTCCCACTATTAAAACTCAATTCTGCAAATGCAGATGTCAAGGACTGGTCATCTGGCAAATTTGCTTCATCTGATTGGAGATTCTTGATAGGATATCGTTGAGTATCATTTGCTAAAAATTGTCTGTCATTCAAACTCCCATTGCTTTCAAGTTTCACAGCAAAAGCCCCCTTGCAAGAATTCTCAGAAATGGGTGCCAAGCTACCATTTAGAGGTGCAATCTTAGGTCCAGCATCAGCAGAATGCTGATTTGCAGAAGTAGCATGTGGTATCTCTCCAAGAAGCTTCTCAAATTCATCAAACTCTATTTCAGTTCTTTGATCTTCCATTCTGTAAACGGCAGTGTGCTCAAAAACTCCTTCCTAACAATGTATATGAGACAATGTAGATACACAAACTAGCACTTCAATGCAGCAAAATTCTGAACGACAAAACACTACCCGTTAGGATCTCAATAATGGTAATAGAAAATGAAAAAAACTAAATTTTCCAAAAATAATCATCACTTCACTTCTCACTAGAAGCTATCACCACCACAGTCTCAGCCATCAGAAATGGATTTCAAAGAAGCATAATGATAGTAATAAGAAAAATCAAATAACAAGAAGAAAAGGACTGTCACATAAATCACGACCAAAAGATTCTATACTAGAAAATCAACGAAGAACAAAACCCCAGTTCTAAAAGAGACCCCAAAAATGACTCTAAAACCATGATCATCATCATCAACATGATCAAACCATTAAAAAGACCACTACTTTTCCTCGATTTCTACGTCCAAACAGGAAAAAAACAAAAAAGCACAGAAATCTATGCTTGACACAATTCCAATAACCATAATTCAGTCAAGTTCATCAAAAGAGCCAAAACCCAGATGATTAAAACCATGATCATCATCACAGACCATAAAAAGTTTCAATCTTGACAACAAAAATCAATAAAACAGACAAATCAAAAGAATCCCAATTCAGCTCAAACGATTCAACAACAATGCAGAAGAAAAACAAGAGTGAATGAGTGATAAAAAAAGGCATAACATACATACAAACATACCAGTGACAGAGGATGATAGTAAATGAAGAAGGCATTGGAGGGGGCCAAAGCAACAAACTTTATAAGAGATGATCGATTGTTATTGTTAATTAGAGTGAATTATTTAGAAAGAATGCAAAGAGAGTGTAAGTATTTGTTGGTAAGGTGAGGGGGAGAGGCGGCGTGAAGAAGAAGGAGATTTTTTCAACCAAGTGTGAGAGATATAAAAGAGATGGAACGGTTATGGCATTGCCAAATTTAAGCATAAAATAGAATTACATTACAACGATATTACAAACATATATTTCTACCATTACCATGAACCATAACCATAACACACACCACCCTCCATCTATCTATGAATCATCCATGCATGGAATGCAATGCTGCTGGCTTATATATATATTTATTATTTTATTATATGATTTCTTTCTTTTATTTCTTTTAGGTTTGTTTGGGTCACTGCACCTCACTCGTTTTTTTTCCCTTCTTTTAACCGGTAATAACAAACTTGTAATCATCATCATTAAAGTTGAGTCAATTTAAGATATTTTATTAAATTTATAGTTAAAATTATATTATTTAAATAAAATAATAATAAAAAATTATAATTTTTTTTAAAAAAAATTTAAGACTAAAATTATTAGACTTGAAGTATTTAATATAAACAAATCATGAAGTTTAATTTTTAATAAATTAAATATTTAAAGATAAAAATAAAAAAATTTAATTATAATTAGGATTTAAAAAAAAATAATTAAAATAATAGGGATTAAAGTTAAAATAAAAAATAAATTTTATATTTGATTGAAAGATAAAAATTTTAAAAAATCAATTTATTAAAAATACAACAAAATTAAAAAAAAATAAAGGTTAGAATTGACATAAAAAATATTTTGATTTAAGAATAAAATTAAAAAGAATAATAAATTTTACAAAAAAAAACACAAAAAAATTAGAAATGAAAACAATAAGAAACAAATTGAAAAACATAATATCATCAATTTAAATTGAATGATGAAATTGAAAATCAATAAAACTTTTACAAAATAACCAAGGCAAAAAATTAGAAATTGAAAAAATAAGGTTCAAATTGGAGAATATAATATTTGATAAATTGTGATAGAAGGATAAAATTAAAAACAAATAAAATTTTTACAAAAAAAGTTAAGACCAAAAATTAGAAATCAAAAGAAGAAAAATTGAAGTTAAATTACTAACAACCAAAAGGATCAAATTGTAATTTTTAGAGATGACAAAAAAATAAAAGAAAAAAGAAAAAGAAATATTCATCATTAAAAAACTAGATCACCACCAGAGACACGTACCACATTAAAATAAAGAGAATACGATGGTATTTCTAGCGACATGATAAAAAGGCATTTTTGGACATTAAGAGATGCTGCTTGTATCAGCCAGCCCAATATGCTATATATTGTTTTACCGTTTTCACAGTTTTATTCTTGGTGATGCAAGTTCATTTTTGAGCCTGACGTCTCAAAACGCGTACAATATATTAGCAATAAGCACGACTAAGAAGACTAGCTATCAAACTCTCATCTACCGATATGAGTTATTATAATTCATCCCCTTTAAAAAGCCTGACGATCCCGTCAACACAACTAGATAGCTAGTGAAGTTAGCTTTGATACCAAATATAACAACCCGGCCCAATATGTTGTATATTGTTTGTTTTGGGTCTTACCACCCTCATGAACGCGAGCCCACTTTTAAACCTAACACCTTAAAACACGTACAACATGTTATGTTAGCTTTGATACCAAATATAACAACCCGACCCAACATATTGTATATTGTTTGTTTTGAGTCTTACCACCCTCATGAACGCGAGCCCATTTTTAAACCTAACACCTCAAAACACGTACAACATGTTAGCAACTAGTACTACTAATTAAACTAGCTACTAAACCTCACTAGTTGATATAGGATATTACAGTGTCTAAAAGATATAGATGCCTCTCATACATCTCAAGGTGTGTCACATACAAGTTCTTTTTTATATTTTTTTGTTTGTTTAGCCAAACACCAAAATATTTTTGAACTAATTTTATGATTACAAAAAAAAAAGAATCATTGTTATTTTATTATTTTGAAAAAACCAAGAAGCTCCTTGATTCCAGGATTTAAATTTTTATTTTTAAAAATATTTTTGTTGTTTCATTATACTTTTTAATTATTTATTATTTTTTATATTTAGTTAAATATTAAATTGTCTCTCAACTGACATCATAATAATGAAAAAACCATAGTGAAAATACTAAAATACCCCTTAATCCTAGGGTTTTTTTTTTTTGCTTCTAATGTTATTTTAATCATTTCATTGTGTAATTGAAATGGAAAAGGACTCATTTCTCCCTAATGAATTTTGTAATGACAAATGAATCTTGTAAAAAAAATTTAATGGCATTGATAATTAGTGCTAAGTTTTTTAGCTGTGTGGATAAAAACATCATTATATTGTTCTAATGAACAATATCTCAGTAGATCCAGAGCTATAATATTTTGTGGAGGCCAATTAATTAAATCTTCATGAGCTATAATTTTTTATTTTTTATTTTATATTTAGTCAAGTATTATATAAGATTGGATCACATTGGAGCATGAATAAATTTTGTAAATTGGGTATCGTGCTAGCTTCTGATTTTTAATTTATTTTCTCTTGAAAACATATTAAATTAATATGGTTTTAGATATTTTTGGATGATTTAATGTGTTTATGTTAAAAAACAAGAAAATATTATTTTAATGTAAATTTAAATGAAAAGGGCAGCTTGGAACACATCATTAAGTAGACAGTAGACAGTTGGTTGTTTTCCACATCAAATGTAAACGAGTTTTAAATTTCTGATGCATATATAATTTTACCACAGCATACATGTTCTGTGAAGAATTAACGTGCTTGCCTGCCAATATCACGATAGAGAGACTACTCTAATAATAAATGTGTGTATCTAGAAGATATGCATGATTAACACTCCAAGGATTCTCTTTGGCTCTCGGTTTAGTTTTAGGGTTTTTATTATTATTATTACTCTCCACTCTTCTTTTCCCCCCTTGAAGAGGAGGAATTACACTTAAATTCCTTCCAGACAATCTACCCCATTGCAGTCGTTCTTCATGTCGTATCCAAGCAAGGCTTGTGTCTTGCAAGACAAGTCAGATGCTGTTTGGTATCAGAGACCACATTATTGTATTGGGAACTTTGGTAATGGACAAGAGAAATCAAACAATCAAACAAAGTAATAATCAGAATTTAACCACTAATATCAAGAGAAGAAGAGGGGCAAAAAGATCAAAACCTTAGATGGATGGTGTTTTGCATTACTATAGTTTTTATGATCATTTAATGGATGCGTATATGTGCATCATGATTCTTACTTTATTTGTTTACGCTGACCAAGACTCTGTTTGTAGCTAATTATGTTTGATAATGTTTTTCAAATTGTTTTTATTTAAAATACATTAAGTTGATGTTTTTTAACGTTTTTTTTATATATATTTCTAATGCAATAATGCTAGAAATGAAAAATAAAATATATATAAAAAATATTATTTAATTAAAATAAAAACCTGCAACGCGTTACCTAACACAAACTTAATCTGGTCATTAATTTGCTTTCCCATTGTATATAGAACACATTGGGTATTGATGAACATGCACGTCTTGCATTGGCATTAGCTATATGCTTTGTTTGGGTAAAAGATTGAGCTTTGAATGGTCATCCAATTCAAGACCATGTGATGAAAACCCTAATTGTACTCGAAATATCCTCTTTACATGAAAGGGAAAGGGGGAAATGTTGAGCATATGGAGTCATTTTGAACCCAATATGGTACTCCCCATTGCTCATTTATACGTTCTCAAACCCTAATCATAGATGAAAAGTTGCCCTCCATGGAGGATATTCCAACGCTTCTTCCTTCTTCCTTCTTTATCATCATACCAGTAGCAGCTCTTCCTCCGTGAAAAAAACCAAGGTGTTTAACATTAAATTTCTAAGATCTAAGTTTACTTTTCTAGGATAATAAGAAAATAATTCACACAAATAATCACAAAGAAATAGTATGATTTGATTGGAAAGACAAAGGGTTAAATTCATGAGAGCATACGAAGACATGTAACACCTGATATTAGTAACTAATTGGCTGGACAACAGAGGAAGAGTGCGAAAATACAAGGAAAAATATTAGTTTTTTAGGTAATGTAAATAAAATAATTAATGAAAGGGAGACTGTAGGGGAGGCGGGGTGGCGGGGAGTTCGGGTCCATTATTAACTGTTATAACAGAATTAGTTACTCTACTCTCTATCCCTTTCCAATCCCAAAGTATTTTTATCATTACCCCTTCAATGGTGTGTATTTGTACTGGACAAAGAGAGCATGGGAGGAACACGCTGTGCCTCTCAAATTTCAAAAGCAATCCCACCAATAGATTATAGGCTTAAATGAATATCCTCTGCCATATTATTAAAGGATTGCTGTGGAACGAGAGGTATCTACTGGACTGGAGGGTTGGAGCATGGGAGGTGACACCATGTCTCCGATGAAGGCGAGACAAAGCTCAGCACACAGACCTGAGACCTTCCCTTTACGCAGCAGCGCAGGCATTTCTTACAAAATCACAAGTTCAACGTCTCTTTTTTCTCTGTTCATAATGGATTGAGGAGATCGAGTTCCCTTCAAGAAAGAGATAACCTCCTCCTTTCTTTGAATCCCTGTTCATAATTTAATTCTCAACACTCAATTATGATTGCCGGTCTTAATCATATAGAGTGGTAGATGGTTCTTTATATATCCCATAATCTACTCTGACGACTGTATTATGATTGCCACCATAGAAGTTATCTCTCAAATTTAAGGGGATGAAGCTATAAACTCTAGGTATTTATTGACACCACAGTTAACTCAGACTAACCATTAATTGTGATATCAACAGATCGTCAGATTTAGCAATTGTGGAGCAACGAGAGCACAAGCAAAGATGAGACTAGCAGCAACTCAAAAAAGGGTTCAAAATCATTGCAATTGTACAATTTAATTGCAGAATAATACACGCCGTATTCCAGCAAGCTACCCTCACCAGAATCTGTAATTTCTACCAACATTGGTAATCAAATTTACAAAAGACGCATTATCAATCATCAAATTAAACATCATTTGCTTCCAAGAGGGCCCCTGATCTTATTTGATCCTCTCATGTGTTGCACAGCTGCCTTCCTAGTACCCATATCCTGTAAAAACAATGCAAGAACAGAAAACTCAGTGACGCAGTCACTAGACAAACAAAGCACTTAATAGCGAGCAACACGGGCAGCACAA